TGATAATTACTGATAATTGATATACCCCCCCCCAAAAAAAATATAAATATAAATTCTCAAATCTCTCTTGCGCATCAGGAACAAATTTGATTTTCATGTGCATTGAGTTCACCAGACCATTTATCTTCCTCATAGAGATATCATTCAACCCTTCCTACGGTAGTCTTAATGGCTGAGAGAAGCTGTATTATTTCAATGTCAACAAATCCCCGCCTAATGAATCCCACGAATTTTCGTTTAGGATGGAATGTGCAGAACCAAGCAGGTTTGGTATACATGAATGTTCGTGAAAAAGTCTCGTCAAATACTAGTGTTACGGTGTAAAATACAATATTTTAGACTTATTTTACATTACCTTGTAAATAAACTTTTCGGACTTTGTGTAAATTGTTGTCAAAACATTTCTTGTATTTCGGCAAATGTGATAAATTATTTAATTCTTAACAGCCTTAACCCATCTGAGGCAAAGTCAGAGATTGGACATTTAATCCCTTAATTTACTTCTGTTTATATATATTGACACTTAATCTTTCATCTTTAATTCTATTATATACATGCTACTAAAATGTCACCATTTGCTCAATAATTGTTTGATATGTGATTTCTATATTCTTTTGTTAATCCTTTTATTTTACTCTGTTTTTGTTCAGTATGTATGATTTGTTGTTAAAAATTATAGTCAGTTGGAATCAGACCTTCGGTGCTGATAGTTCCCAAGCTCATGTGAAAGTATATTCCTCACTAATTCTATATAAACGTACAAAATTTGTAACTCGTGTTTGTGTCTTGAGGTTTAAAAGAATCTGGGTTCAACAATAAGAGGAAAGCTCACGGTTGAACCAGAATCAGTAGTAGAGGACGAAATCATCCCGTAAAACTAGCCAAGTGTGAACATGCTAAAAACATAAAACATTCAACGCATATGTGCGCGTGTGAGAGTAAAATCGACGTTAAGTTGTCAAGCTCGAAGAACAAGTTAGAGAGTTTCTGTCAATTTTAGGATGAAAAAATGAATATGATTGTCTGTTGTCTAAATATCGGTTTGTTATTCCTTGACAATAACCTAGGTTAGCATGATTAAAACCACTATTTTGATGTTATAATACCTTGACAATAAGCTAGGATAGCAAGATGAAAATCCCTATCTTGATGTGACGTTGTTACGCGCCGATTCATCGTCGTGCTTGGTTGGAAACCTTTTAAGTTACTCTTTGACAACCGAAAAAAACTTTTTTTGCTATAAAGTTGAAAACAATCTGCATTGCAACATCTTGTTGCCTTTTTATTCACTTATGCAATTCAATTACTAGACTCAGTGTAACTTCCATCAGCCATACCATGATTGCAAGAAATTTATACTGACTGCAAATATGCAAATAACGATATCTATAACTCTAATGCATTATAACCTTCAACATCGAAAACATGGAATAAAATTATGAAGATTAAAAAATTCCTCATTACTTACCTCCTTTTAACTAAAGAGAGACACTGACAAAGTCAGGGACTTATCAAACTGTATCCTCCCGACCTTTCCTACTCTTCTATTTGTCACAGTACATATTGTAATATCAACATCAAAGGTCTTTTTTGATCCGTTATAAGGAAAATAAAGAGATCTTTTCAAATGTGCTAGACTTTATGTCAAACAATTGAAGATGCGTCCGAAATTTGTAAATTTTTTGTATGAATTAACTTTATAAATTATTTCAGAAGAAAAAAAACCAATAGTCATTAAATATTTTACCCATTGAAATGAAATATCACATATCATATGATATGAATTACAATAAAATATAAATCTTATATGTTCACAAGAATAAAATATCTCTATCAAATTAGCAAACACAGTTTGTAATTGAAAATTTTGGTTAGTGATTAAAGAAAAATGTACATTAAGTTTGTACTTTATGATGAGTATGATAGAATGATTACCGGGTATGCAGGATGATATGTCCATTGTTGCAATGAGATCGATACAGTCAGATTTTCAAACAATTTCTATTTAGTCCAATTCAGATAATTTGTATATTCCATAGTTTCTTATTTGAATTAGGCACGAAGAGGCTAACTTTATACACGGGACTATTGATTGATCATTCACTTGGCAATTATAAAGCTTATTAAAAATTCAAGGCACTGAAACATGAATTTCTTAAAACAATAAATTTCTAAAAATAAATCACGTACCCTCTAAAATTCCAGATGTGGGAATTGTCATACCGGTATCTTTTTATTCTAAATTTCTTTAATGTGTATGATTAACGGTAATCAAGGATATCTATTATCAGGTATGTTAAATATCAGCATTAAACACCTATAAGACTTATTTCAATATGTTTCCTCAAATAGAACATTGTTTGTAATTGTACTATTAATAGTTTGAATGACTGTTACGTATACAGAGCTAAATTAAATATAACAATTTCGTAAGATATCAGTAATGATAAAATAACATAGACTATGCTTGCATAAATACAAATCTAGTGTTTCCTTGATATTTTTAATTGTACATTAATAGATCAATATGGTGTACTTGTACCAGAAATAAGAATGCGTTTCTTTTTATTTAAGTATAACTGTAAATTTTGTCTATATTTTCCTCCGAATGATTATCCCTTGTTTGATTTTCAAACTACATATGTACATGTATAAATTTAAAAACATACTGTTTATTAGAATTGATCATTTGTTGGAATAATGACGATCAACTTTTACATAAGTACGCTGTATGCACAACATATTACAAAACGGAAAAATAATAAAAATAACATAACATATAACTTATATCTCTAATTGTGAACCTGAAAATAATTCTTTTTTAAGTAGTACAATATTTTTCTGGATAAATATACCTTTTTGTTATGAACTTTGATGTTTAATCTTGTGTTTAAAATAACAATTTGAAAAGTTTTGAAATATTTCTTTTATCTTATTTAATTTCGAACATGAACGTTTATTTTACAATACATATGTAGATAGGTGTGCTGAAAATATTTATCAATGTTTGATTTAAGTTTTTCGCTATAAAGAAATCACTTTCAACAGCTGTTTAGCCGTCCATGTATTAAACATTTATGTTCCTTAGTTCTCCTGCCAGACAACTGAGCTTGTTTTTTGGTTAAAGCAGGCAAAAACAAACAACTTTATTGAAGTGAAAAAATGTCATTTATTGAAGTAAATGACGTAAAAGTAGTAAAAACATATTTACAATACAAGAAAGGGGGTCAGAAAAGGGGACTTAAATATAAAATATTACATATCTTTATCACAATATTGCACAATCTGACCCCCAGCACCATAATGTCATCGTAAATTTTATACATAGAAAAAAGGGGGATCAACCAGTAGACTAATTAAGAAAACTTAACATGAAAAAAAAACATTGGCATGTATAGTATACATGTGTCTTAAATGACCCCCTACTAAACATAAAAAATTCTAAATATACGTATTAAACATGCATGTAAATCACAGTGTCTGAAGCTTCTGACTGTTAAAAAAATATAAACTTGTAAAAGCTACCCTTTAGACGTTGGTGGATACGTATAGAAATATTCGTCATAAGAAAAAGCGATGACGTAATTACATGTATAATACACAGATTTCCAACGGAACGCCATGTAACTTGTACACGTACGCTTTCTCCGTTTTATATAAAAATATAAATATAAAAAAAACTATCAGCACACTTTTCTCGTGACAGATGAGGCGTGGGTTGAAAACTGTTTTTCTTGGGTGTTAATGTCAACTCTATCTCCCTAAAACAGCCACCATTTTTTATGTTTATGTGCAAAAAAAAAAACAAACAATCAAAACAAAACAAAAGTAAAACACAGTTGTATTTTGTTATTTTGTTTTATTTTGTTTTGTTTTGTTTTTTTTGTTTGTTTGTTTTTTGTTTTTTTTTTTGTTTTTTGTTTTTTTTTGTTTTTTTTTTTTTTTTTGTTTTTTTTTTTTGTTAGTTACTCGGTCGATTAGAAACATTTCTGCTAATGTTGCTAATATTTAAGATAAATATACTGATGATTGTTGTTCATGTAGTATCAAATGATATCAGTGCAGCGTGCCACCTAATGATTTGTTATCACGAAATATTTTTATATAAAAAGAGAAGATGAAATGAGCATAAGTGTCTTTCGACAAAAATAAAGCTCGCAGTACTCTCTAAACCAGGTAGTACCATGTTCTTCAATGGTTTTTATAACAATAATATTAGGATTTTTTGTTCTCTCATATTGCCATAGAAGCATACAATGCTTTAAAAATAAATGTGATTATATGATTTGTCAAATATGGTATTTTATTATGCAATTGAGTATCTAAAGCCGTTTTTAAAAGCATATTAGAGAATGTATGAATTGAAATCTTAAAGTGACTACCTGGTACCGGGTATACAAATGTTTACTTTAAATTCCCAAAGTAAACACTTGAATAGTCATTCCAAGGGTTCAATTAACACATTAAAATTTTTCTTTGTTTAACATCATATTGATATCTTATTTTGAAGAATTGTAAATACGCATAAATAAGCATAAAGTATACGTAAAATAAATGAGTTACAGTGTGATCCTTGGAGGCGTCGAAACAATTGCGCCAATCCAAAAAAAATAATATGACAAGTTACTAGTATTAGAAAAATTCCAAATTCGACCAGAATGCAAAATAATACAAAAACGAACCAATTAAAGGGTGGGTGGTGTTTTTTTTTTCCATCGCAACAACAGGCTAACAAAAATGACGCAAGAAAAGCAAAGATTTTGATTGGTTTTAAAAATCAGTAACTGTTAGACGGTGTAAAATTTAACAGATTTCTCATAGCGACATAAATTACTTTTGATAATATTGTTTTATCTACATTCAATGGAGGAAAAATTGGTATATATATATATATATATATATATATATATATATATATATATATATATATATATATATATATATATATATATATATATATATATATATATATATTTATTTATTTATTTATTTATTACAGAATGTCCTCCTCGGTTATTTTGTTGGGATTAAGTGCAATTCTTGGCAACGTACTAGCTACTGAAAAAGCATCACCACAACCCAGTCTAAATTCTTTCAGAAATGACTATGACAGCGTTGCCAAAACATGTTTGGCTGTTGGCTTTGTAAAAAACGACTGCAAAAGCAACCAGGTGCAAGACAGACGCACACGTAAGTAATAATTAACATTTAAATGATACATGCGTCTTGAACACATGTACCGGTATTAAATATATTATGATAATGTTTAAATTCTCTGCTTAGGAAACATGAATATTGCTTTCGATGCAAAAGCCAAAGGAAGTGACCATACAGTGAGTAAGGGAAACACTGTTATGTTTGGAGATGTTGATCTAAATATAGGAGGTGGTTACAATGCAGTAAAAGGGATCTTTACCGCTCCAAAATCGGGAGTGTACGTCTTTGATTGGACAACAATGACTTTGAATAACAGATATGCTTTAACCTCTCTAGTCTTGAATGGTAAAAGGCTAACTTACAACCATTGCGATACTAACAGTAACATAAAGATGTCATGCAGTAAAATGGCTGTTGTGAAAATGATGACAGGAGATAAGGCTTGGATTGTTAGCTTTTACGGAACATCGTCCATTCATTCTAAATACTCTTCTTTTTCTGGTTTCATGATGTAAAAACTGATCATGATATAACGGTATACAAATAAGAAGGTAACCTGTAAGATGTTTTATTTTTATTTAAATAAAATAACATTGCAAATGATATAGTATCCAAAGAATATACACTGTAATCATATTCATGTTCTATGCTCAAATGTATAGAAAAAAACAATTTATTTTTGATTTCCTATATGATCAAAAATTACGTAAACTTTGCACATTTCTTTATTGATATCGTTAGTATAACCGGTTAAAAATTAGAAAAGTTCTACATTTAGCATCAATGTTGAGCACGGATAGAGGGATCATTTAAGATGCTTTGTGAATCGTATCGGTCTGGCCATTGCACAGACTTCCAGAAATATAAATATTTTGTTTTTATCATTTTGCATGAGACATGTTTCTGCTATACAAGAAGTATTTATTAATCATTCGATGAACTTTTTAAACATGAAAATTTTATGAAAACACAATTAAGACGACATTGAAAGTTTTTATCATCTGAAATTACAAAAGAAAAGGTATAGGATTTAATTCAAGACGGTCTCTTTTTATGATTCTTTTTCTAATATGATGTTTTAAATTATATTAAGTTAAAATGAATCTTTTAACTTTTGTAAATGTAAAAAATTTCATGCTAAGCGTAGAATGTTTTAATCAGACATTGTTTATTGATTAATTGATTGTAAGGTTTTTTTGTCCCATTCAAGAATATTTCACTCACAAAGAGACCTCACCATATAATGGTGGAAGGCTTCAAATTTAGACCTTTACTCGACACTCAGAGGCGTTGAAATAGAGGGATCTTTAACGTGCCAATGTCTGTCGAAAACTCAAAAAAAAAATCTATGGCCCTGTCCTTGTTTCATTTAATAAATTATCACACTCTTTCCCATTTCATGTATCAACATTAAGTAGATGCTTTCATTTTCTATAATAGAATTTCTTTTCGAGAATCGATGCGTTAGAAAACAGGCTTCTAGAAAATACAATAAACTTGAATTTTTCAGAAAACATGCATATTTGACTACCTTTAGCAAAGAATTTGATATACCGTAAGCACATTCCACTATCGAAAAATTAAGATATGTTTTTTTAATCTTTAGTAAAAATAGAAATTTCGTTATGTAATTGCATATTCTGGATCAAAGATTTTGCTTTATGTAAAATATTGAAATCTTCATTATGTTGCTTCTACTTTAGCTCTGCCAACGTAATGCATTAATGCTTACACCTAGTACTTACAGAAGTGTTAAAAGTTACACATTTCTTACCGTACAATCCTATTGTAACGTTTCTGGGTTCGAGGATTCGGTTGCTCTGCCTGAGCAATTAAAGGAATGAATTAAATCATATAAATGTCTCAATCAAGGATTTTCATTATCAATATATACAATATCCTACACTGTCCTGATGCGCGTGCGCCTCCTATTTAAGCAAACAAACATATATTTACCAACTTACAGAAAAAAATACAACAGGCTCGAAAGCCTTATTCAGGCACATAAGACTTGTTAAGCAAATTTACGTTTCTCACCTGAACAGGAAACAACTGACCGGTGTCGACTTCAGTCTGGAACTGACCAAGAGCTTGTATATTGCTGCTTATATACCCTAAACAATCATGTGATATCTGAGGATCAAAAGTGTAAACTAAACAGGAAGTATTTATCATACACAAAGCTTCCGGAGGACAGAATGGGTTTTATCATTTCGATTCCTAGTTTTGTTTCATTACCCACACCTCCAGGAAAGCGTCCCGTATTAAATCAATAACTTCCTTGGCTAAAGATATAACGCGTGGTACAAACAAAATAACAACAAATTTTAAAGCTACCTGGCTTTCATTGTTCATAAGATTTAACAAATGTTGCACACACAAAGTAAGCAAATATCATCAACACCGTAATTAATAAAGAAAACAATCAGAAATCAATTAGAATTGGATTTGTCATTTCAATTCCTAGTTATGTTTCACTATTTTCTTCCAAATTTTTTTTTCAGCTTGTTGATTTCTTTCAGAAAGCCGTTCACTAACTGACAGTTATAGATTCGTCAAATCAGGTCATAATGAATTTTAAAAAAAAATAATTTAATGAAACATCTGATCAGCATAGCTTATTTTTTCTATTCTCTGTAGTTCAATAATTAAATTAAAGGATAGAAAAAATTTAATACAAAAATATTATTCTGAGTTTTTCCAAATATTCGGTAGAAGGATTTGGAAATAACGAACAGTACTCAATCTCAACGTCCATTAAACAATATACAAAATAAGAGCAGAGCAAACAAGGACCTCGAAACATCAGAGGTGGGATCAGATGCCATGGAGGGGTGAGCATCCCCTGCCGACCGGTCACAGCCGCCGTATGCTCGTTGTCATGATAAGGAAATAACGAAAAATATCCGTCGTCAATTCAGTGTATAATAAATGGACTAACAATTGGTATGAAAAACGTCCGTCAGCATTTGACTCAATGATAAATTGTATTTGCTGACAAGGTCATTGTAACTACCATAGAATTTACGAAATGATGACTTTAAACGAGATTGTTGATATTCTTGTTTCATCAACTTGCTTGTCAATAATTGACCTCGTTTAAGAAATTGTTCATACGTACAGCATGCTCTTGCATATCGAATCAACTGAGATATATATACTTAAATTACCATTAGTGTCTTTTTCAAGTAAAATATCTAAGTATGAAGCAGGAGTGTCGGACTCTGTGGTATCTTTTATCTCAAGCTCACCAGGATATATTGTGTCGACGTAGGAATAGAAATTATCATTATTAATTGACAATACGTCGTCGATATGTCTAAATATCGAGTTGAAGGCCACAGCAAGTGTTTTCTTCTTTTCACGCATACGATTTTGCATAAATTCTGTTTCATATGAATATAAAAATAAGACTGCTAATAACGGAGCGCAATTTGTACCTAGGGAATTCCAATAGATTGTTGGAATACCTGGTCTCCAAAAACCACATAGATATTGTCAATCAGAAACTCAAGCATCTTCTTGATGTCAACTTCAGAGTACTTATGTGTGCAATCAGAATCTGTTTTAACAAAATAATTTTTCAAATGACCAATGACGAGGTAAGTATATTTACGAGTTCCATTTTTGTTAAAGAAGCAGCTTTCAATTATATCAAAAAGCCTGGATTTTAATTTGTCGTGGGAAATTGTTGTGTATAAAGTTGAAAAGTCGTAAGTTTTTAAGCCGTTGATTTTTGTAAAGCCTTGTTATTTCAAATTGTCCAAAAGTTCTTTAGAATTTTTAAGTATCCACATCTGATTTACACCACTTCTTGAATATATAGTTGTACAGTACTCTTGAAGTTTTTCCTTCACCACTGTCAATATTTTAGTGAGAAGTAACGAAAGAGGCTTGGTTGAACATTTACTGGAACCTGCAATGTATCTTCGTAGGTGTAAAACCAGATATTTCGTGTAAAAGAATATCGGGTAAAAGATGATAATCGCAATTAATCCGTAGAATTTAGCTATGATTTACTTCATTACCTTTGAATACCTTTTGGAATTTGTTTTTATCAATGGACCTTTTAAATTTAAAAAAAAAAGAAAGAAATTGAAAATATACCCATCCATTATAACAAGCCATTTATGATATTATTTGTTTGATTTTTTTTTCAGTTTTACACAAAGTAATTTTTTTTCAAAATGCTGAGAAGTTTCTCTGTGACAATCTTTGTAATTTTTACCACGTTTCCTTAATTTTCTTGGAATTTCCACGAGAAATATGATTATCTTTTGATACCTTTTTTTTTATTTTAATTAAGCCAATTTACACAAAAACGTTTCTGCGTAAAAATAAGACATATTTAATTCGTATATCAATTTTACATGTAGATAAATGCACGACAATTTATCAAAAAGCAATATTCAATTGGTATATTCTTGATATGGTCACTATTCAAATCAGGAAAAATACTTAGAAATCAGTTTATTTCAAAAACCTCTTTCAAGTGAACATTTTGCACATTCCACGGTCATGATAACGACTGTGCTCATTAATACAATGTAACGTTAGGTCTTATTTTATTTGATATTATTTATAATGTTATTGTTCTAAATACATGTACTTGTATTGGCCACGGAGAACCTTGTATACCTGATCAATATATACTTACACTAAAGGCTTGCGCAGGTAACACAGGATACAAACTCTACCTAGACATCTGGCCAAGGGGACATAAAACATGAATTAGACGAGTTCAACTTTCATCTCAGTCTCACTTCTAATCCTTATAATCTTTTAATCCCTTTCGAAAAAAAGTGAGACTGAGATCAAAAGTGGGTTTGTCTAAATTTTAAGGGCCCCGGGCCTGATATTTTCTCTGGTGTTTCCATGGTTAAGTGTTTTATTCTAGTCACGATTTGCTTTGTTTACTGGATCTAATAGATTACTGTCTATCACCTTCCAATTTGTATTACAAAAACAACGTTTCGTTTAAAAGTGCACGACATAAAAAGAGTTCCATATATCGGTCCGGATCACCCACTTATTGGAACTCCCCAAACGCAGGATTGATTGATTGTGTATTGTTTAACGTCCCTCTCAAGAATTTTTCACTCATATGGAGACGTCACCGTATGCAGGTGAAGGGCTTCAAATATTGACCTTTACTCGGCACTCAGGGCCATTGAGCAGTGAGGGATCTTTATCGTACTAACGCCTGCCGCTGACACGGGGCCTCGGTTTTTAAGGTCTTATCGGAAGGACCCGCAACTTTCACTTCAAAGTGCCGAGCGCATGGCGATGGAACAGTTGCTACCCATTTTTTGTCGACTTAGGTCAGTCGCGGCCGAGATACAAACTCACGACCTCTCGATCACGGTCAAACGTAGGAAAACTACTTTTACTACAGTATATGGCCAAAGAGGTTTCAAAGTGTGCAATTACTTTGTATAGCGTTTACTAACAAATACATTGTACAGGAACAACTTAATTCATAATTGAGATTGGAAAGTTTTTCCTGATTTAGGGG